GTAGTACTACTACTACTAGTGGTATACGGTGGTAGTGAGCATCAAAATAGTAATAGCCATAGTCGTAGTCGAAGTAGTAGTAGTATTAGTAGTAGTAGTAGCAGCAGTAGTAGTAGTAGTCGTAGTAACAGTAGTAGTAGTAGTAGCAGTCAGTAGTAGTAGCAGTCGCAGTAGTAGTAGTAGTAGTAGTCGCAGTAGTAGTAGTAGTAGTAGTAGTAGTCGTAGTAGTAGTAGTAGTAGTAGTCAGAGTAAGAGTAGTAGTAGTAGTAGTAGTAGTAGTAGTAGTAGTAGTAGTAGTAGTAGTAGTAGTAGTAGTGGTAATAGTAGTACCGTGAGGGGCGGTACATGGTAGTAGTAATAGTAGTAGTAGTAGTAGTAGTAGTAGTAGTAGTAGTAGTCGAAGTAGTCGTAGTCGTAGCAAATAACACTCGCAGTATCAGTATCAATAGCAGTAGTAACCGGAGGAGCAGGAGGAGGAGGACGAGGAGGAGGAACAGGATGAGGCGAACAGGGATGACGAGAAAGGGGAGGATTAGGAAGAGAAGGAGGAGGAGCAGGAGGACGAGGAGGGACGAGTTGTATTGCCAGCCGAGAGAAGCAGAGGGGGGAACCAAAACGAAAGCCATCTCGGTCACGGCCATGGCACTGCCAGAAGGAACGCTAACTCAAGATGTCAAAATCAAGTCAAACAGCTCGAAGGACTGGCCGAGCACCGTTTTGGAGGCGTCCCTGCTGCCTCTCGTTTTGACAGTGGCCCCTCCCCCTGCCGAGAGGGCCACCTGGCAGAGTCGCGAAGGGACGCAGGCAGCCCCAGGGAACCACCGAGCCCCTTCCGATCCCGACCTGGACCGCACTTCAGCGCCACGCCTGTATTGGATGAGGGAGGATGCGCGGGGGCAAGAACCACGTCGTTAGGAGGCAACTACTGGGAGGTTTTCGTCGGAAGACTAAGGAGGATTAAGCTCCACTTGGGAGCTGTTACACCAAAATGGGCCTTGGATTAAGCGGGATTAAGCCGGACTAAACGGGATTCAGCGGGATTCAACGGGATCAAGCGGGATTAAGCGGGATTAAGCCGGACTTCGGACCAGTGCAAAATCAGAATTTGACCTCCCAGGAGTTGCATCCCAAACGTCGCAACGAGGCAAGCTGCGCTCCACTCGGCTTCCCCTTGTCCCCGGCGAGCCTTCAGCTTCGGACCGCGGAGGTGGCAGAACCTCGGCAGGAACCCCCTGCCTTCGTGCCCCCGTCTCCCATCGCCGCCTGCCGCTCTCCCGCATCACACCTTCCCCCACACATACCCCCCTCTACGCCTACCCGCTGCCCCTCCGCATCCTCCACGCCACTTCTCGCATCCGCCTTCGCACGTACTCCCTCTCCCTTCCGACCTCGGCACACACACACAAACAGACACACACGTATATGCACACATACAGACACACACACATACACCGTTCAACTCTCCCTCCCTCTCCCCCCCAACCCCGAAGAGAGAAGAGGCGGTGGAGATGGAGGCGGACGTGAATGAGCGAGCCGAGGACGAAGACACGAAAGAAGATGAGAGGGCGTGAAGGGAGTGGACACCGACCGTCCCGGCATTCCTATAGGCCTACCACGCCATATTCTTAGAACCGGAAATGCTATAAGAACAAAAACAATGTTCTTAGAACGTAAATCCGATGTGTTAAAACAAGACGCTCCCAGCCAGAAATGTCCGAATAATATTTCGTGCGGGCCACGAGAGGTTCTTAGAACATTGTCTGGTAGGCCTATAGCCACGCCAGGACGCTTCGCCACTGCTTGAGTGAAGGGAGCGGAAGGGGCCACTTCGTGGATGCTCGGCGCGCTCCTCGGGCGGCCCGGGCCGGCGCAACCCGCCCCCGGGCGGCGACCGCGAGGAGACTGGACGGACGGAAGACCAGAAGGCAGCGTCGGGAAGGGACGGATTAGGAGGCAACTGCAATGGCAGCTGCTGGAAGGGACGGGTTGGGAGGCAACGGAAGGGACGGTTTAGGAGACACCTCCTTGGGGGGGATGATTTCTCTTTGCGGGAGGCGGTGGGTTTAGGCAGGCGGGTACACCTGAACGGGCGGACATTCCTTCGTGGGCGTACATATGCCCGCCATTGGAATTGGTTGGTGTGGGCCCTGCAAAAAGGGGAGGGGGGGAACGATGGACAGTAGGAGGAAGGGAAGGGGAGGGACGAAGGAAGAGGGAAAACGCCAGAAGAAAAGGAGGTAAGAGGGGGGCGGTTGATTAGAGGCAGAGACAGAGAGAGCAAGAGAAAGACATATAAGATAGGAACAGAGAGACAGGGAGAGAGGGAGAGGGGAGAAAGAGAGAGAGAGAGAGAACAACAAAAAGGAACGGAGGAGCCAGGAGAGGGGAGGGAGAAGGGGGCAGAGAGAGGAGGGAGAGGGTATAGGGGCACAGAGGCATCATAATGAGGGAAGAAATGAAGGAGAGAGAACGGAGGAGAGGAGGGAGGAAGGAGGAGGGAAAGGGAGGAAGGTAAGAGCGTGAACGTTCGAGGAAGTCCTAGGCGAAAGCGCCGTTCCTGAGCACCAAGACTTTCCCTGCCAACCATCAGGGTGCGAGCGTCGAGGGGCACAGTTTGATTGAGAAAAAAAGCATGCACCAGTGAGAGGGGACCAGCAATAATTATTCTTCAGATGTGATAGTTCAACCGAAGCAAGCAATCAGTTTAATCATGTTCGTTTTTACTTTCTCGCGTGCCACTCAACACGTGTATCCCGAAATCTCAATACCCGCCTTGTTCGCCGATTTGGTGCAACCAATGAAAAGGGGGAAATGAGGACGGATGAGGGATACAAGACGGGACGCGAGATTAGCAGGAAAGGGGGCCAGGAACACAAAACAATGACAAAACCAGGCGGGCAGATTGGGCGGGTAGACCCAATCGGGCGGGTCGGGAAGGCGGACCCACGCGGACAGGTCGAGCAAGCGGGCTGCTGAAACGTGAGAACTGCACGATTCGAAAAGGAGGTCTCGAGCGACTGCGCGATTCGTGATGAGAAGCTGGAGCGGGAGCGGGATTCCTGAACGTCGAAGGCGCGGCGCTTGAAAAATTCGCGGGGAAGTCCCGTGCGAGAGCGCGAATCCTGCATACATCGATGGGCCGTCCCCTGCGAGACCGCGCTTCGTCAATAGTGTGAAGAGATATCAGGCGGACGCCGCTGATGTCGAAAACCTCGGGCCAACAACATGGTTGAGTGACCCCAGAATTAGCTGGTTAAAAACAAGGCGAGGGCTCCGGGACGAATACAACAATAATTGTTAGTTGGCAATGAGGACGGCCCAGAAGAGTGTCCCAAGACGGCCCGAAGAGGGGCCCAACAGGGGGAGCCTGAACCAACAATCCGAGCCTTCTGCCCCAAAGCAGCCCGAAGAGGCGCCCAACAAGGCCCATGAGGCCCCCAAGAGGCCCCCCAAGAGGCCCCCCGAGAGGCCCCAAGAGGCTCCCCAAAAAAGCTCCGAATAATCACCAAAGACCACTTGAGGCATATAACTTCGAACCCAGGCACCAACGATCTCAGGCCGACATCCAAGACGCGGTGGCGGGATGGGCCGAAGGTCACTGTATATACATATATGCATATACATTTATTTTTATATACATATATGTATATATATACATATATATATGCATACATACGAACTGCCGCGGGCATCTACCTCGACCGAGAAGAAAGAAGTTGTCGTCGTCGTCGCCGGTGTCTCACAAATTTCCGTGGTCTTTCGATCACCCGAAGCATCTCCTCGAATTCAGCCTCCAGGAACCGTTTTCGGTGCCGGGGACCACCGCCGAATGTCCAGGATGAGGATCGACCTCCCTGGCTGGTACCACCCCTTCGCAAAGGAAGGAACACAGGGTGGATCGAGGCTCGAGGCATGGGACTCCTAGTTCTTGGGTGCTCTCCGCCCCCTCTGGGCCTTCAAGAAGCTCCTCGTCGGCACAACTGGGTCCACTCTCGAACTTCTGGTCGCGTTGCACGGCCCCATCTTGAACCCCACAGGCTACGTAGGACAGGCATAAGCCCCAAGATAGCTTAGCGGTCGCGCGCGTTCCGCGACTTCTGTCTTTCACTCTTGCTGCCGCCCCAAGGGGTCGACGGCGCGGAGTAAGCCAATGCATAACCCGTCCTTGGGCATGAGAAGTCAACACCACAGAGAAACACAAACAGCAAAAAAAACATGCACAACACACACATACTCGGGGATGGAGAGACCTCCCTTTAGTAAAACGTGGTTTAGTGAAAACGGCCTAAGGCCCAAGCCTGGCGGGCGCAAGCTCGAACTTCTGGTCGGACGCAACCCCAGCCGGGTCGCAACGATCCTCGACCCGATCCAAAAGGTGGAAAAGATGGCCTGGGACATGCCCCGTGAAGGCCCCAAGAAACTCACATAAGACCACGAACATCTCCAGAATTATCCCCTGCACGGCCCCATCTTGAACCCCACAGGCTACGTAGGACAGGCATAAGCCCCAAGATAGCTTAACGGTCGCGCGCGTTCCGCGACTTCTGTCTTTCACTCTTGCTGCCGCCCCAAGGGGCCGACGGCGCGGAGTGAGCCAATGCATAGCTCGTCTTTGGCCATGAGAGACCAACACGGCAGACCAACAAAAACAGCAAAACAAACACGCACAACACACACATACACATATACACATACACACACACACACGCACACGCACACACACACACACACGCACACACACACACACGCACGCGCAAACACGCGCACACACACACACACACACGCACACACACACACACACAACACAGCAACAAAAATGCGCGCGCGGGCCGAGTGCGGCACAGCTGCCGGCACGCCTCCCGCTGCTCGGCCGACCTCGGCGCTCCCAGCGTAAGGAGGAGCGGGCCGGCGCGGGCGCGCGCGCGCGCCACGCGCGCGGGGGGCGGCGGGGAGGGGGAAAGCGGAGAGGCGGGCAGGGAGGGCGCGGGGAGGTGTCCTGG